CTATGCAAAAACCGATGTAACAACAACTCATAAGCACTTCCTCTATCTTCATGTTTCCTTGAGAAACACGTTTCGATAAACTCTCTTGCATCGCAAGGCAAACTCTCTGGAATCTCTGGAGCGTTACCATCAAAGAGAAGAGTCGCGAGATCGTCGATTCCAACTCCTTCCCATGGCTTCTTACCAGTATACATCTCCAACACCAAACAACCTAACGACCACAAATCTAGGGTTTTGTTCGCAACACCGTCGAGTAGGGACTCAGGAGGCATGTAAACAGGCGTTCCAACAAACGGGAAACCGATTTCCCAGTAAACAGGAACTTCTCCGACTTCTAAAGAGTTTCCAAAATCAGAAATCTTCAACTCGTAAGAATTATGATCAACACTCAACGGGAAGACAAGGTGGTTCTCTGATTTGAGATCACAATGAACATAACCGTGACCATGAATCGAGACCAAACCCTCGAGTATCATACGCGTGAAGTCTCTGATCATCGAATCAGGTAACTTTCTGTGCAAGTAATTGTCCATGAAATCATATAAACAACCTTCGGATGCGTACTCGAGATGCGATTGGTAGACTTTGTGTCCTTTGTCGTCGAAACTTTCTTCTAAATAGTCTCCGAAGCATTTAACGATGTTTGGATATCCTCTGAGTTCGGACAGAATCTGAATCTCTTTGTTCAGAGAGTCGTATGCATCGGCGTAAGAGGTTTTTACGGCGGAGAGAAAAGAGGAACCGTCGGTATTGGTGTACTTGACGAGATCAACGGTACCGTAAGCTCCTTCTCCTAATGGTTTCACGATTTCTTCGTTTGATTGCATCATCTTTGCAACGAACTGAGTTACAAGAAACTGAATCACTCGAGAAACTGGTAAAAAATTGTAGGAAGAGAAAGAAAAATGGAAATTCTAGAGTGAGAGATAAAAAGAACATGAAACATTTATAGAGAGGTAGGCTTTTCGTTACGAAAGGAAAAAAGGAAATTCTAAGCGAGATTTGG